AAAAAAAAAAGGAAAAAAAAAAAAGGATTTAAAAAAACGAAAAAAAAAAAAAGGATTACATTGGGCCTAGGCCCACTACTCTTGACATGCACAAAAGACAAAAATCATGGCCGTGTATCTTTCCATGTTCTAGCGGAAGATTCACTCTCGTTTTGCACATGTCGAGAGTAGTGGAGCGAAGGCCACTGTAGAGAAGAATACTGGGGCCTTCTCCCCCCGTCTTCGACTGAGAAAATTGAATGCCGTCAGATCCCACTGGCAAAGACGATTGCAATAAGAGCGTGAATCTGGACGTGTTTGTGGAGAGGTGCAAAAAACTGTCATTGATCTGCGTTTCTGCATCTCTGTGTGGAACACGTCCAGCTTCAGACACTAATTCCAATCGTCTTCGCCAGGGGGATCTGGCTCTTAAGTGTGGAAAAACAATGTTCCAAGCCGAATTCACTCTCGAAATGTGCAAAATGAGAATGAACTTCCCCTAGAACATGGCCAGATGCACCAGCGAAAGTTTTGTCCTTTCCACATTTCGAGAGTGGTGTGGCGATGCCCAATGTTCCAAGCCGAATTCACTACTAGGTAAAAGACTTGCAAAATTCAGCTGCCCGATTGCACCTTTCAGCGACTCCTATACTCTGCCCCCTGACATTTACTTATTAACCGCGCACACACGGATGTCTGTCATGATCGCTATCCTCAATTTCAAGGACGACTGTGGGAAAGGACGCCTGTGCCGGGCTGTTTCATTGTGTGTCCATTGTCGTCGCTTGCACGTTCATCGACCCCCTCCCTCCTCACTCCATGCTTGTCATTCTCTTCCCGTTCCTCCTCCCATCCATGCTCGTTCTCCTCCTCGTTATGCTCTTTGTCTTCCTTACTTCTCCTTGCCCTTTCCCTCTGTTCCATCTCCTGCATGCTCGACCTCCTTATCCTCCCTGTCCTCGTTTCGTCGCGTTCCTCCCTCCTACTCCAGCCTCTATCCTTCTCCCTCATCGTCGCCCTCCTCTATCCTTCTCCCTCATCGTCGCCCTCCTCTCTCCTTCTCCGTCCCTGCTTGTCGGCCTCTTCTCTCCTCCTCCATCCGTCCTCGTCGGCCTCCTCTCTCCTCCTCCGGCCCTCCCCGTCGTCGTCCTCTCTCCTCCGTCCTGGACCAACAA